ACTTCCCCCATGGGATCTACAAAGAGATAATGGCAGATCAAAAGCAGGCTGTCCAAAAGAGCAAAAAGTCTGCTATTTGCAGCGACCAAGTCAAAGTAGACATTGAGTTTAGAGAAGAGGCGTAAAGGGAGAAGTACATTTTCTTGGAGAGTCTGGTAATGTCACGGAAGGGAAACGGTAAAGCGGAGTAAGTCGCATGTAAACCGGTACGAGAAACCGTAGGGTTATTAGTGCACTGGTGATGATTTCGGTATAGACGGTATAGACAATCGACTTCTGATGAGTCACCTTAAAGTGACGTGATTTGTGAGTATGAAAAAAGACAAGTCTCGTGATCCACTGAGCGACTGTGAGCTGAACAGTCAAGTGTGTGGGTGACTGGGTAGCTACAGGGTTCAACTTTATTAGTGCACTGGTGATGATGTCGGTATAGACGGTATAGACAATCGACAATCTGATGAGTCACCTTAATGTGACGTGATTTGTGAGTATGAAAAAAGACAAGTCTCGTGATCCAGTGAGCGACTGTGAGCTGAACAGTCAAGTGTGTGGGTGACTGGGTAGCTACAGGGTTCAACTTCCATTCTTGATAGTTCCAATGGGTTCACGGTACACGATAACTCAAACAAACGCTATGGAGTCAAACAAAAGTATGAACATGACACCACTTCTAATAAGGTATGAGATAACAGTGTGAAGACAACTGATATCTATGCTTGCTTTTCCACAGTACATGTATTTCTACTTGAGTGAGGGAGTCCCATTAGCGAGTTTTATTGATAGAAATATCCTTCGAAGATCAACCTCTGACACGAACATCTTATGGGTTAGAAGGGAGTAGACATAAATTATTAAAAACGCAAAAAATATTCTTTCGGACTGCTGTGTACTCATTTGAGTAAAAAGGATTATTGCAGTTCCTGGCCGTCAGTCTTTCTTAATCGTAGTCTGAAGGCGACTTCAACCGAACCTCCATTTATCGATCACTGTGGTTAAAACAAACATAGAGGTCGGATTTGTTGGATCAGCCATGCTTCAGTGTTCTCGACTATGCTGAGAAGCGGCTAGGCTTGTACCAAGAGCGTTTCAGTTCCAAAGTTCCTCCTCAACATACTACTCAAATGCAAATTCATCCTACTTTAGAATACTTCGTTTTCTGATAGTGTGGACAAACTCGTACGCAAAACACTCGTGGCACATTTAACTGTCCAAGAATGGTACAACTTCCAGCGATCCATAAGATATAACTTTCTACGGAACAAGGAAACAAATCAACTAAGAACAAAACAGCGTCATATTTTCAAATTTTCAAACAATTAACGAGAACTGTTTCTTTCCGGATTTAGAACTCTGATCGTTTTGTTGACAAGATGGAAAAAACCTTGGGCCGAACGAAAAGCGTTTCATTTCTTGACATCGCCAAAAGTCTTTTACGTAAGTACGTTTTTGAATACACACGTGAACGAGTTTCTCAACCATACAGAATTTCTCCCCTAGCTACAATGTTGTGCGTAGTTGCATGTCAGTATCAATCAAGCGTACTTCGCCCGATTTGCTTTTTCGAGAATCAAATGACAACTGAATGAATTTACGGGCTGGGGACTAATGAGTACGAGCCGGACTGGTTCTTTTTTATCCGTAAATTGGTGACTACTCAACTGATTGTTTGTCCCAAAGCAGTAATGAAGCTCCGAGTCGAACACTGAAAGTTGAATTGTGCAATCAGGTTGAAAATTTACACAGTTTTAGAGTTCTTAACACGAATCTCCACTCAGTTTACACAAGTGCGCAGTTTACTGGAGATTGAGTGATCTCCTTAGTATGTGACGATGAGCACCAGGTTGATTATTACACTGAGTCTGCCACACAGAATATTTTCAATGCACAAGTAACTGACAATGATGTCAAGAACAATAGGGATTCTCAATATATGATTCTGCTTTTTAGCGTTATTTCAATCGGCCTTAAAGAATGAAACCGTCGCTGAACTTTCACGAAGTCCCTCTCTACTACGATACCCCCCCAACTAACAGTCCATTGATAGTCCTGTATTTATGCACCAGTTTATCAGCTCCCGCCTCCAATGCGCAGCTACCTACCTCACCTCCACAAATCATGAGTGGACGAAACTGTGGCAGGTACTGTACAACAAGTACGCGGTTCTTGCAGCTGATGATGATTATTCTCCTTCCAAAGCAAAGTCGGAAAGCCTACCCTTCACAGTGAGTCGGGCAAAGCTGGTTGCCTTTTGAGTTTAACTGACAGGATTGAAAGAAGGGACCTCTCTCTGATAACCCACTCTGAGGGCACCACCACACCATAAACGGGTTTTCTATTTCTGTCTTCAAGGTCTGTGAATTCCATGTACTTCTGAATATAAACTTTAGGTATGTGAATAAAGCCGCGAACGCTCAAGTGAGCATTGCATTCAAAGCGGTACACAAAGCAGAACATCACAAGCCCTGTTTGAATTTCAGTCGAGTTCTTCACATTCACTTTTCACCTTACAATGAATACTTTTCATTTTTGGCATGGCCTGTTAACCAAAGTGCAATTTTACACACACACACACACCCAAAAATTAGGTTTCCTGCACCTAGGGTCAGTCAAAATGAAACGAAATTCTTACTTCCACGAACTGAAGAACTTCATAAAAGCAGACGTCATGGTCAATTTACTGCCATCGCTCTCGACTCATTCTTTCTTCGGCTGATGCAATTTGATTAACTAAGCCACAGACACTGTTTTCAACTTTTTTGCCAATTTTTCAATACATAGTTTTAGAAATACAGTTTGACATTAGAAACAATTGTACCGGTGAAGTTGAAGTCGTTCACTTAGTTTCGAGACTTTCTTGGGGCAGTATATGTCCAAGTAAATACCTGCCTTAAGTTCAAGACGTGAATCTGCAAGAAAACGACTAACTACGGTTTAGCCACCGACACAGGGGAAAGGAAAAAGACCTCCGCTGCGGAGTTACTTATTAGAAAGTGCCAACTGACCAATTACTGACCATTGGACAGGGAAGCAAAACTCTCATATGGATCTTGTTTACTAAACTGAATATCCATCCTTTCCTTGAACGCATCTTCCTAAACTTTCCTGGATATTTATTAAGTGTTGCTCAAGTCCAAGCAAATGCTACAAAGCAACCCCACAAATCCGCACTAGACCTCCCTTTTCAAGCGAATTTACAAGAAAACATACTACTGACAAGCTACTCCCATCAGTAGTATCACCGTTACACAGGTAGCTCGTCTAGACAACGCGCTAAGCAAGTTACAATTGGGAAATCGAAGGTCATCATTTTCGCTTTATAAGATTCAAAATACGACTAAGAAAGGGCTCTGATCAGTACAGGAGTTTGGGTGAAAAGCGTTTACGTTTCGAGAAAGATCTACTGGTCCAAATAATCAATACTATCTCTGAAATAACCCACACACTCTGCAGATGCCATACATGATAAACAATTAGCTTACGCTTGTCTTCCAAATGTTGCACAAGTAAGGTTCTCAGAAAGCCCACAATACGGTCTGCACTCATAGAATTGGACAGAGAAGATATGGTCATTGGTGGGCTAGAGGCTACAAACACCGTGAATCCGGTAACCACAGCCTCAAGAAAGGAACTAACTGACTTGCTGTTTCAACCCCACCTTCCCTCCGTAAATGTCCCTATGTCGGTACCATGAGGGATTTTGCCATGTCACAGAAATATGCCTATCGCCTTGCGGATTTCGTCAGAAGAAATTTCCACACGTGTTCTTGGTGTCTGCTGCCGTCGATTCACAAAGCACCTGACAGTCACTCCAGCTGAGGTGAGAGAGTGATGAACGTCTGACATGAGTAAGCAACTTGTCAATTCCTGCGCGCTGAAATTTATGGAGGGCACAAAACCAAGCATCTTTGGACACCTGAATGTCAACTTGGGACTTCTTCGTGAGTTATCCTGGGAATTATTGTTATCGCTGCTATAAAAACAGACTTTCTTAGGTACTTTGATCTGACTGTTAACGCTCGCAGACTGCAGCTTGTCGAGTGTCATCTATGGTTGTGAAAGCATTCGGGTCACCATCGTGATTTCTACCGAGATCTATGACTTTGCTGCACAACGAGTGGCTCACAAAATATATCGGTCTGATGAGGGCGAAAGTGGTCAAGTGGCATATCGTTACACGGGCTTCACCTGCTCGTCTTTATCCTCTCGGCTTACCGCTAAATGAAACTAGCAACTCTAAGAATTTGTTGACCAGATTCTTCACCCTGAGACCAGTCGTCTTTCAAGCAGTCTGTGGCGTTGCCACGGTATACGGTGTCTGAAAGGATCTTCTGAGACTGGCACCCAAGCGGCCTCTACCGTAAATTAAATGAGATCACAACGCCAGGTATCTGATCGATAAAACTCATCAGCAACACCACTAACGGTCCGAAAGATATGCAGTTGACATATGTTGTGGAGTTTGCGGGATATCTAGTGTTCGTATTCACATCACTCTCGTTTGAACAGTCGTCCTTCTGTCCTGACGTAGTTATTCCAATGAGTCCACACAAGAGTCCGGGACAGGAGGACGAGTGTCCAAGCGGGAATGATGTGAATATGAACAACACATATCCCGCGAACCCCATAACAGATATAAAAAAGTCATTAGGAGGGTTCCAAGCGTCTGTGACGCTACCGGACTGGGAAGCCCTGACAGACAGGTCAATCGATCGTCACAACCAGGACAGTTACTCCGTCGTCGTTCCGATGATGTGTCGGGCACACCAATCACGTCGCTCAAGTGTGAACACATTCGCCCGTTCAGACGTGAAAGTTCAGATGCGCCCAACGTGCGCTGCTGGCCTCTCCAGGTGTCCGGAGTTCAAACCCCAACAGGGCCGTTAGACATTCACTGCTGATGAGTTCGAATGAGAACGGAACTCGAGTCCAGTACTTCCCCCATTTGATGTGGACTCATCGAAATAATTACGCCAACACAGAAGGATGACCGTTCAAACGAGATGTGCGATTTCTTCAGCAAGCTTGATTCGGCTAAAGTCTATCCGCATATCCTATTTGCGGAGGTGGTCATTTTCAAGATGGCGGTCTTTTTGAACTCCCCGGCATGTCTTTTGACTTGAGTGATGCTCCTTTGGACTTTCGATGATTCATACATGGGGTCTGTTGTAACTTGAGTCCCATCTCTCCATACCCAGGTGGTAATCTGGTCGCCAGCGATTCAGAGCCCAAATATCAACAACGTTTGAACCAGATGTCCACCCATCTTGACTAACACAGAGTTACGAATAGTGCTGATAAAACCACGCTAGTTTCGAGTTCTATAGCATTCCTTGAGCATGGAATTTCATCGCAAAAGTCTGAAGCTTTGCCGTCGAAGGTAGACAAAAGCGCCGACTACACTGCGCCAAGCTCATCTAAGAAACTCTGAAAATTCTGTGGTTTAGTTGACTACTAACGAAGGTTTGTCCACGCTTACCCTTTTGTCAAAAAATAAAGCTTTCGTACACTGAAGATGAGGATTTGCGCGTCTGAAACGGTCAGTCTTCAGAGTAGCTTCACTAGGCCACCATGACCGTGAGGCACCCCTACCATTTACTACCGACGCGTCCAACGTAGCTGTAGGAGTGAATGGAGAAGAATGGGGAAAGGGCAAAACTAATTCGTGATAGTTTGCTGGAACTCCAAACCCTTCTATGCGCATCCCAAAGCGCACCTTGACTTCTGGCTCCAACAGGCCTCAGTCATCCTGATCACCAGCCTTTGCGTAAGGCCACAAGTGGACACAGACTTGCTTCTGTCTTCACGACATCAATGCATGCTTATATAACGCGCACGATGACCTGAACAGTGCCTTACCAACGCGGAATTGCATCGCGTGTCCTCGTCATTTTCCAGGTCGCCGAGGGGGTCCCCCCTACCTGATAATTTACTTGGGACAGTTGGACTGACTGTTCGGATCGCTAAGCCCTATCACTCACCCCAACAACAGCTCCCGTTAGTGCACCGAATCTACTAGAATGAACCACTGCGGCTACGAAGCTCGACAGCTTGTGTGAAAGTCAACATCGCGTCTGTTGACGGTTGAAAATGGATGTTGTTTTACCTTCCCTTTCGGCACAAATGAATCATGCTTACAGCGGTACCCACACCTGTTCTGAGGGATCCCCCAAACTTTTGAGATTCCACCTAGCAGACTAAAGTGGAAACCTCACCACTGTGTGTGAAAGTCAACATCGCGTCTGTTGACGGTTGAAAATGGATGTTGTTTTACCTTCCCTTTCGGCACAAATGAATCATGCTTACAGCGGTACCCACACCTGTTCTGAGGGATCCCCCAAACTTTTGAGATTCCACCTAGCAGACTAAAGTGGAAACCTCGACCACTGTGTGCTTTTTTTTACTGTGAATACACGTGAAGCATGCCAAGTTAGTCAAATCATAGCACGTGTAAGGTGCAAAAACCTTGCTGCTTCCAGCTATCTTAGGCCGGATCTACACTGGGACATGTACTGAAGCACCAATTTATCGCATCCGAAAGTGTCGGGCACTCCTTCACGGGAGAGACCCAAACGTGGGCAATTTCTATCCTCTCTAAAACTCGTTGCCTTTTTTTAGCCCTCTCATCTCCCTCCTTTTGAGATAATTGCTTTTACTCTATCTTGTCTTTCATTGGTCTACCATTTTCTGTTTTACCTGTCAGCGCTTTCCGTAACTTTGAAAACTAACCTCTTAGGCTCACAGATTTGCAACCATTTTCGTTGTTTATACGGTCCTCCGTAGTTTTGAACACCAGAAAAACAAGTATTACGTAGCGTTCTGGCGTTCATTCAAAATTTGACTTCATGTCTTGAGCTATTCTCACGCCCGGGCAAACGCAAGAACGGAAGCAACCCCATCCATCATCGGTTTGTTTAAAGGATTGATTTACTAAGCCACGTAAGTGTTCCTTCCACCAACTTGATGTAGCTTAGGGGACCAATGGAATCCTTAAGCACGTCATAGGTAGATTGAAATTAGTCTACCATCTTGTGAGGTTTATTTGCATTGCAAACCCCTTCACACATTGCTTTCATGCAGTTTTGTCTATCCTCAATGGCCATAGAGTCGTTTTATCAGCTAGTTAGCCATTAGGCGTTTTCATGTTTATTCACAAAGGTTTAGGCCGAAAATACGAACCTTAGCCACTGGATACCCACGGTGATACTACTGATGGAGAGGCAGGCGAGTAGTATGTGTTGTTTGTGAAACTTCGCTTTGCGGCTCTTGACAAGGAAAGATTTATTGCGGAATATGTGGAGCCGCTTTTTATCATTTGCTTGGATTTGAGCAATGAATTATTGGAGTCAGTGAATATCTAAGAAAGTTCAAGAAGACGCGTTCAAAAGAAGATGGATGTCCAGAATTGTAAATAAGATGCAAATGAGAGTTTCGCTTCTCTGTCCAATGATCTGTAACCGGTCAGTTGGCATTTTCTAATAACTCACTCCGCAGTAAAGGCCTTCTTCATTTGGTTTGGTGAAGTTTAGACTTTTTCCTCCAGCTTCCGCGGTACTAACGATAGCCACCAACGTTGAGCTATCATCGACAACGCGCGATGCTAGACGTTAGCTGTTGGAGTTTCGGTAAGCGAGAGACAATCGTCTTCTCCCCAATGGGACCTTTGGTTACAACAGCTTCAACGCTGGTCAGGTCATCATTCATGGTATCAGGATCTTCCGCTTGACAATTCTGAATCATTCGTACTTCCTTTTATCCCATCTCCGATTTCTCTTCCCCAGTGACAGTTTTGACACATGCTTCCTCTCACGTAAAGTATTCTGCGCAATCAATATAACCTCGTCAAAGTATGGACTGGACATTGGTCTGACTTTGCTCTCCCAGGTGCGCACACTCACACGCCACGTTACGATGCTTGGGCTACAACATACGATTGAATACCCTGGATATTCATACCAATAACACCTCAAACTTTCATGAGTTAAAAGAGAAAAGCGAAGTTCTGGGTGCTGTTCCATGAATTTTTTATAGAACGAGCTCCTACCGTACAAAAGTATGTCAGTGTACTTTTGGAGACATTCGGCAGATGGTTATGTATTTTCGAGTTTGACGGATTAGTAGAATCATAAAGGACCCCGTCAGGAAGAGTTGTAGAGGTTTTGGTGTGTGTATTTGGCGTACTTTCCGTGAGAATGCTAGGTGCTCTATAACCTGAGAGTGGACACCTAAGGTCAGTAAAGTGCAAAACCAAAAGTTCGTGAAAAGCGATGATTACAAAAAACAAAATATGTAGAACAGTCAACTGTTCGATTAAAGTATTTAATCCCTCATTTTTGTGAACAACTCTCCTACAGGCGAATGCCAGGACATACTGCAGAATAACTAACTTAACTCCGGAGAATTTAGTACAGTTGGTTTGCTCCAATGGGCATTCGTCGGAAGTCATTGTGGGAATTGGTCAACTCCACACTTGATTTTGGATTCAAGATGAGAGAAATACTTCGAAAGAGTCTGTACAATATGTGAAGACAGAAGCTGACAAGAAAACAACCTCAGAAATCCAATTGATCTTGGCCCACCAATCGGTACACACGCTTACATCCAATGGAGCAGTTTGCCATAATAACACGTTTGAATCCACACATGTCAGTTCCAAGAAGCCTCCTGGAAAACTAACTTCCTCTTGCTAAAATTCTGTGGAAGTAACATGCGTTTTTATGTTTGGCAATTATTACAGGGCACAAATAACGTAAGGATGAAACGAAGAACGAGATAGCCCCACGGAATCGGCAGACATGACAAGTTAGAATGTCATGCAGTAACTTCTGGATGTGGGATCAAATTTCATTCGTTTCCTGGTCAAGACAGACACTCATGCTTTATAAGCACAGCATCAGATTCACATGCTAGTTGTAATATCGATCGTCCGGTAGCAATTTTGTGAAAATCAATTTACAACTGAAAATTATTCAGTCTACTGCCCAAAAACCAGTAGTGTTCACGTCTAACTGCTTAGCATAATTCAACGTTCTGAATCCTCGCGCTAACAAGCACACAGTCCCTCACAAGAAATAAATACGTCTGTAGTGGATTTGCTTGCAAGTACCATGTGCTATCTTTCGACAGAACGCGAACATGTTTTAGTTACACTGATCAACATGTTGAGGACGTGGGTCTTGGAGAAGGGTCTGGGAGGTGGGGTAACATTTTGTGATATNATGGTCAAGGCCGCGCTGAAGGAGAAATAGGAGTTTGTTCAAGCTGGCAACAAGGTACACACGGATTGTCAAAATATATTACTGGACATGTATGTGAGATCAAGAGTACGCATAAAATCGGGAACTTTTTACCACATAGAAGTGCTTCGTTAATCGTCATGGTGCATGTGTGAATTTTAGTTTCACGAAACATAAACATCGTCAGAAACGGCGTTGCATAGCAACGCTTTTGTTTAAAGTGCTCTAGCAGATAGATATGATGATAGAAACTAAGTGCAATGGAGCCGTGTCTGAAAGCGTTTCATCGTAATACCCTTTTGCGTACGCAAATGCAACCGTTTTAGAGTTGCCTTGCAAAGTTGAACGTACTTTTTAGTCATTCGCGCGTAAAAGCGATGTAAATGCCGTTTCACGCCCAACCGTTGTACAGATCTTGGAGAACCAGCTCACTAGCGGGTGATTAGGCAACGAAAAACGAACGGAAAAGGTGAATTTGACGTCCCTGAAAAAAATATGAATGCTAGCAGATTTATGTGAGTTGACTAAACAACTTGGGTTTCGATCTATCGGTTGATAGAATCCTAATCAAATTCAGCAGCCAAAAATAACGGATGAAAACGCGTAGATTTAAATTCCAACCAACAAATGTCTCTCAACTGATCTAGTGGATACAGTTAGAATTTTGAGGTAGGTAGCCGGTTCAGGATCGATAATTCCGGAGTTCAAATCCCGGCTTGGTTAAGGACTGCCCAATGAGCCCTAATAAGAGAGAAATTGGAATCAAGTGGTCCCGTCATTTGGTGTGGACTCAGGAGAATAATTGTGTCAGGATGGGAGGAAGACAGTTCAAAACAGTGCTATGAACGTGAATTCCGAGAACCCCGCAACCACTTGCGCTCTTATGTGAAATATTTTTGCGAGAGCGATGAATCCAAGGTTTGCTAGATGTTCACGGAACTTTCAGCCTGCCGCGTTCGACTTATCAAGCACGTCAATTTCGCTGTGAAACGAATAGACTGCTGGAGAGTTTTCACACTACGTCTAGTTGGTGAACCAGAAAAATGCACTGAACCAAATGTCAGATTGTTCACGCTTTTCGGTCTGTTCACACACAATCAACTCACTTTCGAAGCCTACTTTCCTATCGACCCCTGCTATCCTAGCGTAGTTAGAACTGAAAACTCAGTGCATGCTGTCAGGGTTCTAAATTATCAGACACTATTGCGTAAGAATTATGCTGCCTAGCATACTTGCACTGAAGATACCAGCGTTATATGAAGCACAAATTTTCATGGTAATGGTAAGACACGCAACAGATTGCATTGATTTCGAATGTAATAGGCTACTGAGACTGGTAAATGCAACTTTAGGAAATCACTTCACGACGGACGAGGCCAGGCGCATTTGCGGCGTGAGGCTAGACAGTCGTGACCATAATCTGTGACAACTCCATTCCCATTTCCGTACAGGTTCACAGTGTGCCTAACCAAGTCGTGTTGTATATCTTTGTCTTCATCGACTATATCAAAGAGGAGTTTCCACTGCTTTCGCACTTATTCATACCATATCAATAAAGCTGTTCGTCTGCGTGCCTGGTCAATTGACGCTGATAGCAGAGGAAGAAATAAGAACCTATTTAGACGACTAAGTCGAGACCTAATCGAGACCCAAGATGTGAATTCGGAATCAGCCGATTATCTGGCGTTCAGGAACATAGTTCCGTTCGAACAAAACGCAGTGGTCGACCTCGTAGCTCAACTAACCAAATCTCAGTTGTTGAATCATACATGTAGACAATAGGGTTGACGAAAACCTTGGGGGTGCGCCTACCTGATGAGTCCCAAGAAGGGCAAAACCGGTCGTAGGCTGTCGAAGGTTTTTCATCAACCAAATGAGTAGCGCATTTTGTCAAATATGCTGTTCTTTAGCTTAAGAACAACCACCTGTATTGTTACAGCATTAGCTGAACAGGTGGGACCTGAACCGTTGGTTGCGATTTCTAGTTTAACTTTCACCAGTTGCTAAGCGTACGTTGTGAAACGGTATGCAAATCTTACAGCTTACACAGTCTCGTCTAACTGTCATATGGAAAAGGTCTTGTTTGGTAGCTGAGCGCCAAATGACACCAAGTGACTCTGCGATTTCGGAGATTCAGGTTCCGTGACTTATTTCTCTGGTGAAAGCGCCACCGCTGCACTTCGTGGTTACAAAACCAAACATGGTCTCATCAAAGGTTCTTTCACCGTGTCGACCATTACACACTTGATTGCAAAATTTGCGTCCAGGGGATCTGTATTGGATTTTCCTGGCAAAGGGAGAAGTCTCTCAGTGATGAAAGAGGGCCCATTGTATGGAATGCCATCGAGCAACTTCAGTCCCCGAGCACCGTGGCATCTTCGTCAATAACTCAGGTATCTCAGTTGACCGGCATTGCCCGCGCCAGCGTGCATCATATTATGAGACGCCACCTTGGTGGAGTTAAGAGCAAGAACCGAAGAGGAGTGTGCACGAGTGACGCTTGAAGAATTTAAACATGCTGCGTCTCACATCTTATACCGCCACCAAATTGTTATAGAAGAAAGTGGCAGTTTTTCAACATCTTTTCTAATAACAATTCGTTTAAAATAAACCTCCATAATGCTTGTATGTTCCTATAAAAAATAATAAACATTTGCATTGGCGTTAAAGTTTTAACTTGGGTATTAATTTTTGCGTTTATTATGATATATCCTTATATAGTCATGTTGACTAGGTTTTCCAGCTCTATTCTAAGGCATTTGACATAAAAACGAATTTTATCCATCAGATCAGCTGGAGGTTCGCAGGTCATGAAGAAACAATCGTCAACCGTGATGCATAAATCTGTCCTTATACTGCGATCAAATGAGTACGGCCTCTGAAGCACAATCCCACACCATATTAAACCTTCACTTTTTAGTATCTAGCTCCTGTGCTTTGATTCGCTGTAGGATTCGGCCACTGGAATTCTTCATTCGAAAGCTTATTTGTGCGGCGTGGTTGGCTCTCACCTAGACAGGACACAGCGCCACTCATCCTTCAATCACAGAGACCGCATCCAGTATTCAAACGTATTGAACGCCTCTTCGACTGACGATTTATCAGATGGACACCTCACTCGTTTTGTGAAGACTTTCTTGTCCCGAGCCAGTGGAAGTCTGTGGGAACATCAGTAGCCAGGAGTCTGACTATTTACGGCTATGGATGAAGGCATCGAGGAGGATCAGATCAATCAAATAAACTGATTTTCATCACCTTATCCCGATAGAGTTCCTAGATATATGTGGCTCAGGTTCAGGATACCGTACCAACCTCTTCACTATAAATCGATAACACCATCACAAGTTACAGAGCACACGCGAAATTACTCAGAATACCAAAACTATGGATTTCGTTGGCAAATCTGGTTATTCTGATGATCTACTGAGTAATATCTTTGTTTCATCCAGAAGTGTGAGGATGAACTTTAATCCACTGACGGTTTGAAAATATGTGTACCAAGAACATGAGGGCGAGATGGACCAAGTGGTTAGAGCGCGAATTTACTGACCGGAAGGTCCGTGGTTCGAACCCGACCTCTGCCACTCGACTTCCCCTGTCTAGGCTTGGGCGACCTGGCAGTGTCCCAGCCCTCGTGCCTCCTTCATGAGGCATGGCAGCTAGGCACCGAAAAGGTGCTACAGCTGAACGTACCAAGAACATCAAAACTGACGGTGAATTGCTCAAGACGTTACTAAAACCTTATGAGTGACAAAGATGCTCTGTCGACTGCCGAACCCGTTAGCAAAAACCCATATCCAAGAGTCAACCTGAATGAGAGTCCCCCGGGTTCTTCTCAAACGATAAAGAACAATATCATCTATGGATAGAGTTCACTGCGTTAGTCTCATTGCTTATTTAGCCAGTGTATTGTTCGTTTACTTTGGAACTCGTAGTAAAAATTTTTGGCACGCGAGTAGGACTTCCGTTTCCCATGAAATTAAGCTCTTTATTACATGTCGATCATCCATTACATATTCACCAGTACATCACATGATACCAGCTCTCATCATTGATACCATGTCAAAACAAATCAATTCTTTAACCTATATTCACTCGCTTACTGCTTTGAGGTTAACAATTTAACCTGTACTGAGACTCTCGTTTGCAAATAAGAGTACCTTGTCGATTGGTGTTCAAGTAAAACACAGAGAATCTTCAGAATAGCACCTGCCTGATGAGGTTGATAGTGGGCTGTCGAAGAGGTTTAAGCAACCTCGTAAGTAGTGCTTTACGTCAGGACAATTTTTGAGACACTGCGGCTCTGAAGGCACTGTTTGCCTAACCCGGCCTAACAACTCATGGTCCAGTACCTCTTGGTATATCCTACACATCCACGGAAATGAAACTGCAGTTCCAAGCCTTCCGGGGTTTTAGTAATTTCAAGGCAACCACTGATCACCAAACACTTCGTTACTATCTAAGATTTAGCACAGAATTCACTGGATGGACATCCATTCTCTAACTTCCATAGTTACTCTACATCACGTGCCTGTCTGGCCTCATTAGTATTCTCGGGCATAGCAATGTTGTTCCCAGTGCAGGGATATTGATATCTCAATATAAACAGGAATGGAGAATCAGAGCCACCTCATACGAATCTCTTCTTTGGATGAAAAGAAAAAGACTTTTACTGCGGGGTAGGTTATTAGAAAACATCAGCTGAGCAGTTAGTAGACGCCAAGGGGAATTACCAGAAAACATATTACTCGCATGCCTCATCAGTAGTATCCACAAATACACGGGTAGTCGGTTGACACACAGGAAAAATTTCAATGCAGTGAACTGTCGCATCCTGAACTACGATTCAACTATTCAGATTAGTTGGAAAAGAACCACCTACCTTCTTAAAAATTCCACCGGGTCCGCCATTTTGAGATGATGCTTCTAAGGAATGATAGCATGACGGGACAGTGACTGTTTTAAGAGAATCTCAATGAAAGAGAAGCATTTCTGGGTAATGTGCCGTGGTACGCAGGTCTAAAACAAAGAGGAGGACATGATAAGATAGAAGAAGCAATCCGATGACTCTCTGATAATGTCAGAAGAATCAGATGCCAAAACGTATGCACAAAGGAAAGAAATCAGTAAAACACGGGCAAGGTGAAAACAGTAGGTATAACAAAATGGACCCGAAACCGAGGCATATTTCTGAACTTTCTTTGGAGTTTCCTGAATTTTTGGTGAAGGACGAAGGTACACGATCGGAGAGGCTTATATATCCTGTCCCAATGGCCAACTGTCTGAGGAGGTGATATTTCGAACTGCAAAAAGACGCTACTCAAGACTCTAATCAGTAGTATGCATCGGTAGAATAGCAGATGTTTGGCCAAATGATTAATGGAATTATGATAGAGAATAGAAAAATCATTCAGTTTTTACCCATTATACAAGCTGAAAGGATCAAGGTGTGTGAATTTTTTCTACATAAACTTCCCCATCGCGAGTTTATTCAGGCAAGTTTGCCGTATTTATTTTGGGTAAGACGAACGGAAGAGGTAGAAATTAGTATGACACTGTCGATGGATTTTCAGCAACCTTATGAGTAGTACACTACAAATATACATATATCGCGATATTTCAAATATCGTGGTGACTGAAACATGAGGCGGCCTGGTGCAGCACATTCAGTTGCCTGAGAACATCATAAACGAGAGATTCAGCTGGGTTCCAGGTGAGTCACCCGAAAGAACCAAATTAGTTTGCAGATGGGTGTATATTCGCTAATTTCGTGTAATTTGGTTTCAAGTAGAACATAAGGTTGACGGAAATCCGGGGACTGCGCCTACCTGATGAGCCCCAAGAAGGGCGAAACCGCTCGTGGGCTGTCGATGGATTTTCAGCAACCTTATGAGTAGTACATTACAAATAGTATGACACTCCTTCAGAAAACACATTGGAGTATGTCGTTCTGACTGAACTATCGGTTTTGACTTTTTCGTTTCCTTACCCACTGTGCCTCTAAAGTTGCTCATCAGTTCCGACTGTTGAATTTTGAATATTAGTCGTAAATGCAAGCAAGTAATATCATATAAAGTTCCCATTTGTCGAACTCATACACTTTGTACATTTTATCCATTTTTTTCTCAATAATACCCACCATGGCGCATAACCGCTCAAGGGCTCATCGGACCACGTGACTGGGAAACTATATTTTCTTTCCAAAATAGAAGTAAAAATGACATACTGCGACATCCTGGTGTAATAAACCACCATATGAAGTATTGACACTAGATAAAGCGTATTCACACAATCACGAAACCAAATGAAGTAAATGCAGTTATTAGAAGTGTCAATAACGTCGACACTGCATAGATGCGGCCCTGTGGGGAGAGTTGACATTGAGCCAACCAGAAAGAGAACAGATTTAGGACAAAACGTATTACCTAACCCTATAGGGTTGCTTCGTGCCAGATGGTTGATTTACTAGCTTCATATCCCATAAGCAGCTAGGCTTGTCACTGACTTGATGGTTGAGTTTTATCGCTCTGAACAACGCATCATTTATAACGTGACAGTCCCCCGCCCCGCCTAAGAACGCTTTTCTGTCCACATAAACCATTTTAGACCCAATATCCGTAGATTTATAGACTCCACTGACTATAAAGTCAACCAGGTTTGCGAAACCAACATTGTTACAGTCAGAGTGTATCACTTGAAACGTTTCCTAAGCACGTCACGCATCGAGGTTAGAGGATGGCCTCCTTAGGATAGAATTTCGCAAGGTCTTGACTAGAATCCTTACACGTAGACAAACCTGATTCAGATGCTACTGATAAAACTTCATCTATCCCCAATTCATTCATTGGTCTACCCTCCGTCGTACTTCTGCCAAACGAACCGCATCAAACCACTCATCCTGTGCTTATGTACTCCAGCAGATCACCAACAAATGAGTGATAAAAAACAGCATTTCTCCAATTGGTTGACCGAAGTAGGGCTAAAAAAGCCGTCATACCATTTGTATGCTTGATGGGAAAAAAGGAAGAAATCAAAGTTGTGGAATACTGGCACTTCAGTTATTTTCTTCAGCCCCATGCTAAGCTTTTACGAAGAGCATATATCAAGAAATACTGAAAACTGATTGGCACACCAGGTCTTTAGAAAAAAGAAGCCAATGACCAAGTGAAATGATATTTTATTTGGACCGAGTGTTTGTTGGTAGGTTCCACGATGCTCACGTTGATGGAGCAGTTTGACAGCCTTTGTGTGGAAGCAGTCATGTAATCTGATTTGGGTAGTATCGTGTTCATGTCTTAAAGGTGACCAGATCACCAGCAACACCAGATAGTATCAGTTCACTTACGACGACACGAAAGAAAGACATTTGAGGAGGTGATCGACGTCTCTCCCGATGTATATATGAACACTCTTCAAAACAGTTGACGTAATCCATATAGCAGACAGCATACCATACAGCAGCAGAGATCGTCAATGGTGCGGTACCTCTCGGAAATGAGCAACA